ATTAAACTGTGAAATAAGTAAGATAAAAACTTTGTCAGCTCTGCCATTGTGAAATAAGTTAGCCATTTTTTTAGCAGAGTAAATTCTTCATAACTTTGTTAATGGAAAGAAGGAAATAAAGAGAGAGGAAAAAAGGATGGAGAGAGAGATGGTTGGAAAAGGAATGCATTTGAGAAACAAATGTTTGATTTAGCAAAAGAAACACAGTAATCTGTCTAGTTCATATACAATTGCTTTTCTAGGTAGCAAAAATTTACAGGGTATCTGCTACTACCAGATATTGTGCCAGGAACTAGAAAATATTTCTATTTTTCATAGGGGAACTCTAACGTTACTTTAAGAGTTCCGTGAAATAAATATATCACTGAATAGGTCAACAGAAATAAAAGAAAAAATAGACTATTTCATGTGTCCCATCATTTTATCCCGAAGTTTATTCTTCATTTATGTACCAAAGCTTTTTTGTTATATATTTTTTCAGACTTTATCTCTTTTTTGGTCTTTTTAAAGGGTGTTCATGCTCTCACATTATAATTTTATTGTATTATTTAATCTTTTGAGTTCAGACTATGCATAAAAAAAACAATGTACGTGTGTATAATTCTTTATACCATTTTCCTTCAGGTAGCATGTTAATTACGTCTTTGAAGTCTTTTGCCCCCAAGCAATGTCATCTCTGAAAATCAAGTCAAATGCCAGTATTTTAACTGGCATCAATTACTTGTACCTGTGATATGTCTCAACAGCATTTTTCCCTTTAACTATCATTTACCTTCAGGGATACCTTCATAAATCAAATCCTGAAGTATTTGTGTAAACCATGCTGTATTTCACAGATAAACTTGTTATTTAGCTATTTGAAATGGCTAGTGGAGGATCAAACCTATCAATGCTATATACAGTCTTTGTACCAATCTTCAAGATACCTTTCTGTGTTTCACCACTGCTCTCCCTGCTCTAATTACCCCACAGAGATCAGTAACTTAGTAAAAGTGAAAATCACCTAATTAGCTTTTAATTAGCACACACTCCATATTTCATCATCTTTGGCTATCCAAAATAGGCAAGCAGATCTAAAAGAAGAAAAAAAAAAGTTCTTTTTTTTTTAAACAGATACAAATACCACACTTTCCAAATATATGAAAGTAAATAAAACAACATTTTTAGCCTTAAGGATTTTAACCAATGAGCCCTATATTTTTCTCATCAGATTTTTCACTATTGGGCAGCCCAGGTGGCTCAGCGGTTTAGCGCTGCCTTCAGCCCAGGGCCTGATTCTGGAGAACCGGGATCGAGTCCCACGTTGGGCTCCCTGCATGGAGCCTGCTTCTCCCTCTGCCTGTGCCTCTGTCTCTCTCTCTCTCTCTCTCTCTCTGTGTCTCTCATGAATAAATAAATAAAATCTTAAAAAAATTTTCACTATTATTAAAGACTATTAAAAACAACCTATTATATATATATGGTTTGCTTTTGTACTTTCATTGTTTAAGAGTTACTCCAAATTTAATGAAATGGCTTGTGTTATGGACCCAGAGATTTTTTTTAAATGGTCAAAATTGGGTACGTGAATATGAAATTATTGAACTTTCCATTTTAAATGATTATCCAATTATGTTTCATTACGTTTCTTAAGTATTTCAACTATTCTGGAGACAGTTGAAGGTATTTAAGTCAAGATGAATACTTCAAGGGAAAAACACATGCAATTCAAACCATGCATAATAGAACAAAACAATCTGTAGCAAATGTATACACATTTGCATAATTGACTCTGAATTTTAAGGAAGACTTAATACTGATTTTTACACTATTATTCCTATCAAGCACAAAACAGGTATGTGATGGACTTCTGTGTTTGTCATAGAAAATTTTATACATATACATGTCTGTACATAAATCTCAAGGCAAACAAAATCTCAATGTAGTACATAATACAGTATTCTTAGTTAATCCTTTAGACTATATTTATCATGGCTGTTATGTGTTTATGCAATTTATTAAACATGATATTTTGGAGACAACTAAGTACATTTTAATAATTTTATTTGAATACTAAGAATAAATTCTGAGTTTTTTTTAAATGATTCTGTAGATTATTTATTTTTCAGGCATTAATATATGCTGGAAATAAATTCATATACATTAAAAGTTAAAGTCAAATTCTGATCTTGTTATGCTGCTGAATATTCATTTCAAAATTATAATTGATGGCCACATAACTGATTGTGGTGTGTGACACAGAGTAGACAATACATAAATATGTATCTAAATTTTATAAAATCCTACAAATTGCTTATAAGTAGCAACATTAAATTATTAAACAAACATCAGTCTCTTCATATTTATTTATGAATTTTACAATAAGTTAAAATATACACAGCGTAATTAAATTACTATTCTAATGAAAAGCTATCCAACAAACTATCTTAAATACAAGGTAATAAGAATATCCTTACAATTTAACAATAGAACAATATGCTTAAAACCTGAAGAAGAATAAGTATAAAAGGTTAAACAGCAAAGCTTTTAGAGAAACCATAGGAAAATATCTTAGCAACCATGGCAAAGGCAAATATTTCTTTCTTTTTTTAAATATTTGTTAAATAGGACACAAAAAGCCCTAATCAGACAAGAGATAAACCTAATTGAAAAAAAAAAAAAAGAAAGAAAAAGAAAGAAAGAAACCTAATTGAGAATTTCTATCCATCAAAAGATACCTCCAGGAGAGTACTAAGAAAATCCAACAAATGTTTTAATATATAGCATAAATATCCAGTGGTGTTCCAGAAAATGTTTACCAACTAATTTTCCTGTTTTTTTTTTTTGTTTTTTCTCTCTGTTTGTTTGTTTTAGTGTGTATGTGGTGTAAAACCTTCTACTGAAGCAGATTTTCAAAATACCGCGCAGCTCTCAAAATTCCTGACACTTTAACAGTTGGCTGTTGTGAATCAGCCAGCTCCATCACAGAGGATTTAATACTCATTATATACATAAAATAACAAAGGATACATAGTACAGTAGAAAAAGGGCAAGTCTTAAGACTTCAAAAAGGAGAATATTCATATGACAAATAATCATCACAAATATGACAATCATCAAAAAGTGTTTAATGTCATCAAACTTCAAGATATTTAAATTAAAATATTTCTATAAACACACCAGAATGGCTAAAATAGAAGGATAAAAAATTCCAAATGTTAATGAGAATATGGACCAACTGAACTCTCACATCCTGCTTTCAAAAATCGATAGAACCACTTTGGCAAACTATCAGTATCTACTAAAGCAGAACATATGCATAGCCCAAATATCTAACAAAAGACATGCATGGGTTTCCTAAAAGACATGTTCCAGATGTCCATATAACCACTATTCATACAAATCAAAGTCTAGAACTACCTAAATGCTTATAAATGGGATAAAGGATCATAATTTGGTACATCTACACAGTTAAATACTACACAACAGTGAAAATGAGTGGTATTTCATTGCATATAATCTTACAAATGTAATGCTGAGCAAAAGAGGCAAAGTAGTAATTCTATATAATTTCATTTATAGAATGTAAAACAGAAAGTAATTTATCCTTCTGGAAGTCAATATAGCGCTTATGTTCCATGGATATAGTTACCAGAAGAGCACTATGCAATGGGTTATTGGTACTATGGTACTATAATGTTATATATATATATTTTTAAATTACTATTATTTTTTAATGTGAGAGCTGGTTATACGGGTGTGTTCATTCTGTTACAATTCACTGAGACTGTATACGTAAAAGGTATGAGCAGGATATGAGTTGATAAATAATGATAAATGTAATTTTAAAAAATATTTTGACATACTTTAGAAGTTGAATCAACTTGTGAGAAAAGTTCATTTATGTATATTTGTAAAATATAAGTTACCACTTAACAATGGTTATTGGGAATAAAATTATTGCTCTATGCATATTCAAATAATGTGTTTCATAAAAAACTTCTTCCATTATCAACAGAGTCTGGTTGATAGAGCAGTGAAATTTCCCCTTGTTTCTATGTGACACTTGTCTTTAACGATCGTAGATTGAGTGTCTCAAAGAATGTAATCAAGGCATACATCTTATAATGCCCAGAGGTGGTTCCTGCCTATAGTCACTTAAAATTTTTTTCAAGATACATTTCAATACTGCTGTATCACCAAACCAACAAGTTTACTTGATCATCTTTGTGTTTTTTAAGACATCATTTACTCAAAAATATAAAATGTATAACACATATCCACATTATCTGCATTTTATATACCAGTTACAAGCTAAATCTTTATTATGCATACTATTAAAAAAGAGATAAACTAAAAACTATCTTACTAAAATAACACAAATGAAATTCTGTTTATTTACATTCTGTACTAATCAATTATAAGTGGAATCCAGATTCACATTTTTAACAAATGTTATTGCATACATGAACCAAAGACATTAACAAATTAATAGGGCCATAAGATCACCTTAGAAGTCACTGATTACTTCTTATCATTTCTATTTCCATAGTTACATATTTTACCTTCACCTTTCTAAAGCTCCAATATCGAGCTTTCATAGAGGAATCCAATTTTGATAAATCTTGACAGGTGATAAAATAAGTTTTCCTTTCAATAACTCATCAGCTCTATTCATTGCCATCAAATGGACCTCACTACAAAAATTTTTAATCTATAAAATTGTCATTCATGTCCAAAGAACTTTTTTCGGTGGTATAAATCTTACCGTTCTGAACAATGCCTCCAAATTCACTTAGAAACTATCAAAGACTATTTCAAATAACTATATTATTATAATCCACCCAAGAACATAGACATTTGATAGAAAACATCACAGGGTTTCTTCAACATTTATGTAAAAGTATGATAAAGTATCAATGGAATTATGCAAATTACCTTTATATTTATTGGATATTATCAAGCAGGGATAATAAAGGGGAAAACACCTCTAAAATTGACTCTATTAATTATAATCTTACCATAAGCTCACAGGTTAGGAATTCAGAGAAAAAGTTCACCACCCTGAGACCTAGAAAAGTATAAAAATATTTTCCGTCAGTACTGGCATCACATTTTAATTCAAGCATCACAAAATGTTAAATAGTGATTCAATATTATGAAAAATCTTCATTGTATGAGTAATTATTATACACATAATTTGACAAACAATTTTGACTACAACATTCCTCTGAAATAACATTATCATTACTCAGCTCACATCAAACTATTGTGATTTAAGATTAATTACTCTAAGTTGAACTCTTTAAAGCAGCAATGACAAACAAGTAGAGAATTTTTATTGTCTCTTTTGTTTCTTGTGGAGCTCTGGGTGATGGGCACATTTGCAAGCAAAATTTATTTTGCATATATTACAGAAACTTCTCAGTTATAGTCATTTAACAGTTTCAAATATATGCACACCCATATGCACATGTACATGCTACGCAAGTGGGTGTGCACACATGCATATGCAAACATGGTTATCATACTACAATCCTATATTTATCTTTGTCTTATCTGTTTAAATCAAGGGAGAATATATAACTTTCCATCAATATAAATATTATCTATCGTGATTTTAAAGGCTGTATAATACTCTATAGTTTGTTATACACCTTAAATTAAGATATTCGATTTAATAATAATACTATATGATATTGGTTAATATTACCATCTTTAAATTGAGTCATTTAGTTAGCATCATATGCGATCATATTTAATAGTTAGCTTTGCAAGAGTTTTAATATTTTGATGCAGTAGTAACTTACTAATTAACACATATTTATTAAGCCCTTGAATTTGTTTACTTCTAGGTAGATTCTGCTCTATATGAACACAAGAATAAATTGGAGATTTAATCTTTCACATTAGTGAAGAAATTAGTGACCTTTATAAACACTTTCGAAAACTGTGAATGACTGGTATATAGGCAGGTGCTCCACTGTGTAATGCATTATAATTTAAGTTAATAGAAAAGACAAACAAAAAAAGAAAGAAAGAAAGAAAGAAAGAAAGAAAGAAAAGACAAACCATAATAGATTGAATCTATATGTCAATGCCTTAATGAGTGGTGTTGTTTTTAAGGATATGTTTTTCTCAAAGGTCTATGTATCAAATTATTCTGTTTTCTAATATAATTGAAAGAAATGTTATGTTAACATAGCTTATCTCTCAAAGAAATATTTAACTCTTAGGAGGATTTATCACATGCAAAAGTGATTCTGATACTAAAAGAACCACTTGAGGAGTAAAATAAAATGTTTCTAATATCCTTCTGGTGAAACGTTAGCGGAAAACAAAATATCACGATCTCTGAGGTGTGAATGTTCACATTAAAATTTATTATTATTCTTATTCTGCCAATTGAAATTCGTGTGTGGAGTAAAATCTTTGACAGTTAATGCTCAGATCTTCTTGGTCAAAGTCACTGAGCTAACTTGACTGCTTTCTGAGTCTTTGATTCTCAATCCATTGTATTTCACTCCAGTTATCGGCCACTAGTCCAGGTCTCCTTGTTCCCGAGTTGATAGACACTGTTCCTTAGACTTTCACAGATTTCTCTCCTGTGCATTGTTTTTACAAATTCCAGTGCACATGGATTAACCTTGAGAACCTGCTACTTATTCTCTCTTGTGTTCTGCTTTTATTTTCCCTGCAGGAACAAGGATTGAGACATTGACTTCAAAAGATCTACTTCATGCTAATGCTCGCTAAAGAAGAAGCCCTCCTCAAGAATCTAGTGTGATATAAGTAGTTCTACTTCAACAAGTCAATCAAGAAATTATATATGTTCTGTGTCCTCCTCTTTTCTTATCAAGAGATGCATCAAAATAAATTTGGAGTAGGTGTTAAAGGGTTAAGTGTTAGAATCTACATTTGGCTGAAGCAAAGTATCATCATTCTAGAATGAACTCCTTAGATACATATATTAAAATTTTTCATTGTTATTATCATTTTATTATTAAAGACTTAAAGTCAAGCTTTAAGGTGTGACATTATAAAGCAGGAACAATAATTTCTTGTAGCACTATCAGATGCTAGATTACTCCAGCAGACACTATGTTGCATATTTGCAATATTAAATTGACAATTTTACCTAAATAACAAAATTTTAACATAAAAAGTGCACAAAGAAATTTCTGTCCTCTAGTTATATCTAGAATGCTTATCTATATCTGAATGTGAATATTCAAATAATAACAGTAAATCCAAAGAACATTCTTGTTGGTATTTTGGGTATTGTTATAGTGAGTAGTTAAGTTAGACCCTCAGACAGTAAGTCATGACCCGTGAATAAATTCAGGAATTCCAGAAATGATATTCAACACACTTGGCTGGTTGGTCTTCATAGGGAAAGCCAAGCCAGAGAGGTGATTGTAGGCATATTAGAAAGCCAAAGCAGAAATATGGCTTACCCTAATTTTAACCTACTTTTAAAAAAATAATAATTTACATGGCCTGACTCCGGCAAGAATACTGAGTATTGGGACATAATTAAAGGAGAGAAAATAAATTTTAACATGATGTAGATGATAACTATTCTTAGGGGAGAGATTGGTAGTGAAGGATCAGTAATCCTTGACATCGGTACTATGTTAGAATTTTATCATTGATGCATTTTAAGAAATTTTATTTCATAGATAAGATTCTAGTAAATATATTTGATCAGATATACTCCTTTCATTTGTACTACTTGTCTATGTGGGGATAGCCATTCAGAAAGAATTTTTGCTGAGCAAAGTAAGCATGCCTCAGCAAAATTGCAATTTTGGTAATTCTGAAATTCTATTATCCTACACCTTTTAGAAGTCTATAAGGCTGTCAAAGTACTGCAGAAGTCTTGAGAAGTTGTACTTGAATTAGTATTTCTATAAATTAACTAATGCTATTAATGAGTGCATTTATCAGATATGTGACTTGGCATTTGGAGAAATTCATGGAATCAGCATTTCAGATGTTAATTTTTCTGTGATGCTAAAAGGAATTTGACTGTGGTATCTCTTTGCGGCTCACTTTTGCAAGAAATTTCAGTATTTTGGAGGAAGTGGAAGGAATCATAATTTTGAAATGATTTGGTAACCTAAAGGTTGTGAAATCATTTTAAATAATTATAGAAAATGTTAAAAAATAGTAAATAAATTTAAACATAGTTTGATGCCTTTAGGAAAATCATAGTTAATCAGCAATGGATAATAAATAGCCAGTGCTAAGATTTCTATACTCTACATTGTTTGTTCTACATTGATTCTCACAAAAGTTCTTGTATTAGTGATTATTTTCCATTTTCAGAAAAGACATTGGAAGCTAACAGTTAATTGAATAAACTCCAAAATGTCTTACTGCTAGTAAATTGTAGAGTCAAAATTCAACCCAAGCTTAATTACATTTAGAATCCCAATTAATTTATGTACCAGGATAGGATAATATTAATAGATAACATTTATTGAACACATACCATATGTCAGGTACTGGGCCAGGTATTTTGTATTATTAACTCATTTGATTCTTACAACTGTATCTTTAGAGATGAACTGAGTTGTTATTTACAATACGTTCTTTTATTTATTTTTTAAACACAGAGATCATGGCTTCAGAGGCTGTGCCATGTATGAAACATACATTATAGTCTCTACATGATATTTAATCATTATGAGTATTCTTGCAATTGGCATTACAATGCACATATTTACATTTTTGGGGGCATGATGTACATGTAATTACACATTCATTAGGTATCTACTATCATCTTGGTTGGTTGGTCTTAGGTAAAAATAATGATAGCATTTATTGAATATATAGTGTGTCAGGAAGTATGTTGTTTTTTTTAAAGATTTTATTTATTTATTCATGAGAGAGAGAGAGGCAGAGACATAGGCAGAGTGAAAAACAGGCTCCCCTGGGGGATCTTGATGTGGAAATGGATCCCAGGACCCCAGGATCACTCCCTGAGCCCAAGGCAGACGCTCAACAGCTGAGCTACCCAGGCATCGCAGGAAGTATGTTAAGTGCTGTAAATTCATCTCATTTAATCCCTATAGTAGTCCTAACAGGTATTATGGTCACCCTTGTTGCATAGATAAGATAATTAACTAGAAAGTTAATAAATGTGCCCAAGATCACAAAGTAAAAGGCACAGCTGAGTTTCAGACACAAACTCTCTCACCCTATTAGTTTGACACAGCATAAAGATGCTGATTTTTCTAATGGGAAGGAAGTCTGAAAGAAGTTAGAGGCTCCCATTGTAGTTTATTTAAAAAGAAACTTATAACTTCAACTTCTTAAAGCAGGGCTTTGACTACACCCTAATTTCTAAAAAAACAAATATAGAAGAACAGCAAATAAGTTAAAAATCCTTCCAGTCCTACAATGTCAATATATTAGGATTAATTTTAGATAGTGACAGCCCCTCAGTGTCTAGCTCATTAAATGTTAAACTGAAATTATACATTATTTATCAGACATGCCAATTTCTAGAATTTTCTGCCAATAAATTTGAGAATACATAAGATTTTTCAAAATATGTAGATTTCATGTAATATATGCACAATTTAGTATAGTTATCAGAAACACTTAGAAAATCAGCTAGCCTTCTATTCATTTAGAAAAATGCAAATAATGTTTAAAAAAAAACAACTTTGAACTATCTATTTTCAAGACTACCAAGCTTATCATCCCAGAAGCACATTCTTATAATTATAGGCAAAATGTTTGGGGAAAAAATAGATTGTTTCAGTGAAACCTGTCCTATATTAAACTCTCAATAAATAAATAAATAATGAAAACCCAAATACACCAATAAATAAATGATTGATGGATAGGACCAAAGGAAGAAAGCTGTCTTGCAGTTAGGTGCTACATTTTACTTTAGCTCAGTACCCATACTTTCTCAATGTCTTTTTCAATACCTGGGTCATTTTTTTTTTCCCAAAGCAGATTTTAAACCCTAGGAAAGTTGGAGTGACCCGTAGTGATGGATTTTAGGACAATCAATACATCTCATGATTAAGATCTATGCAAATCTGTTGTGTA